AGAAAAGAGAAGTGTGTCTACACAGAAAGGGAAGGGGAAATGCCACAATGAACAGAAAAAAGAAAAAGAAAAAAGAAAAAGAGGACTTGTGGCATCTTAGAGACTAACAAACTTATTTGAGCATAAGCTTTCATGAGCTACAGCTTATAGGTAAATTGAGATACAAACTGGCTGCAATACACATTAACATAGCATGGCTCTGTCTCCCTCTAGTGCCTAGTCTGTGCTGAGAGCTTCATGAATCTGCTATAGCTTTTGAGCTAAGGAAGCTGGGTCCTTTAGCTCAAGCTGTAGAAGCTTTCAGATCCACCAGTCCGTGGTTCAGCCCCACAGATTAGGATTCAGCCAGGGGCATCATTACACTACCGATCTTCCACCTCATCGTCTTTTTCCCAGAGGTCTGGGCAAGGAATAAGGTACAGAATTAAGCTGGTTGTATGGTTCCCAGAGCCCCAAGCTGCTGGAGTGTTGCCTCCCTGCAGGTCTCTTTACTAGTGTGGAGATACAGGGCATCGCCCCTCTCCGTGACCCCACTCCCTGGCTGGCAGGTCTGTACAGAATGACTGGGGCTGCACCTATGCCCAGGTGCCAGCAGTAAGGCGAAAGCATTAGACTCCTGCATCTTCCTTACCTGTCAGTAACGTTCCAGGAGCCCAATCCAAAGCCTACAGAAATCAATAAGGAAACTTTCCATGGGCCAGGGGGAATTCTCCATGTGATCCATGGAGAGATCAGCATCAAGTGAGAAACCCACAGTTTCACAGTTTGATAATGCCCATGCTGACAAGTCTCCTAAAGGTAGAGGAAAATTACGACCTCTAAAAGCTTTGTGTGGGAGGGACCAGAGCTGCATTTAGGGGCCTGTTGTTGCAAACCCTTTAAATAAAACATGTTGCCATTTTTTAATATTTAATCTTAAAAGGTTAAAAGTAATTTAAAATTAAGTTTCCTAAGATGATTGCCTTGGCCCTGATGACAAGAATGTGGCTTATAGGCTAGGTGAGCTTTCCATGGATGCTGGAGACAGACCAAGGGATCTAGGAGTCAGGAAGCCTGCTTCTGTTCCTAGCTCTGCCACTGAGTGGCTATTTGGTACTGGACAATTAATGTCCAGTCTGATTGTCAGAAATGAGGAGTAAATTCCATAGGGGCTGCTGGCGTTTGTCATCTCTGTGAGAGCCGGCCATCATGAGCCTCTCTGTGCCTTAGTACCTTTATAAAAGGAGGCTCCAGATTAGAGCGGGCAGAGAAAGATAATTCCATAGAGCTGAGGATTTAGATAGCTCGAAATCTGTTTTTTTTTCAATTAGGAACGAAAACTACAAATTTCAAAATTCTCTGTGAAAGGGGATGGAGACGTAGGGTCCCTGGCCAGCTGCCCTGTATCCACAGACCCTGGAAGGTCTGGGGTCCCCAACGCAGGGAAGCCTGCATAGACGGGCTGCCCTGGTGCCATGGACCATGAAAGCCTATGCCCCCCCAGCAGCCTGCAGGGCAAGATGGTAGGTTGTATCCGAGCTTTGCCTGGTGTCTGAAGGAATGTTGTCAGAACTGAACCATCTCTGCAAAATGTTTCTATTTTGATTCATTAGCAAATTCTGAGAAAAAAAATGTTTCTCTGGAATGTTTCCAGCTAGCTGTACTCCAGATATTTATCCAGCACACAGACGGGGAGAGAGGGTTGTAACTGGCACCTTGAGATCTTCTGGTGGTCACAAGACTTTGTTATTACTGGGAGGTTTCACCTAGCACTCAAGGCATGGACTAAACCATATTTGGAAGGGGAGGTGAATGTTATGACAACACAGTACTTACCCATTTTACATATAGATTAAACTCAGGCATGTATAAATTAAGGGTACGTCTACACTGCATCGTTAGCCTGGGTGATCAAAATCTGCAGCTGAGCACTCAGGTTAACTTAGGTGTGAGCATCCCCACAGCTACGCATAGCCCCACAACTGTGTCCTCTGTACTCGCCCTCGGTGCTTTATGCTGAAACACTCTAGGATTATTTCCCAGGCAATTCTGTCAATTACAGGAGAAGGTATCTGTTCCCTCAGGGGGAATTGTGGGAAAGCAGTGGGGGACAATCAGCACTCGGGTGATCTTGCCTATGTCGTCACTGCAAAGTGGGATGGTTCCAGCCCAAGCTAAAGCACAGCTCAGGCTTTAACCCTACCTTCAGCCATGTAGTTGAGTGTGGGTTCAAAGCACAAACTAGCATGTGCTTTAAGGCTGTGTGTGGATGGTAGGAGGGTTGGGCAAAAACATGTGCAGACACATAGTCTAAGACGACCATGCATTGGATGCACTTCCTGCAATGTAAGCCCAGGATTTGAACTCAGCCTCAAGCCTAACCCCCATTCTGTCTACACATAAATTGTGCTCACCTGGGGCCTGAGCCTGAGGCAAGCTGGGACCCAGGGTTCCAGCCCTATTGCCTTGCAGTAACTTGTGCTCTGGACTTTGCACTGGACTTGTGCTCTGGGAGTCCACCAGAAGAATCCCAAGGGCCGACTTCCATTGTCCTCTGGACAGTCGAGTTTGGTGGGCAGTCAAGAAGCTTTCCTACTCTGCACCACAAACAAAGTGCTAAAGTGGCCACATTTTGGGAGGGCGCGAGGAAGTCTGCTATATGGATGGTTGGAGTTGGGCCCACATAATGCAGTGTACATGCTGGAGACCCCAGTTGGGAGCCAGGGTTCAGCAATTCCTAAGCCGGGCTTACAAATGAGTGTAGATGCTCAAGCCCTAGGTTATCAAACCTGGGTCTGCTAACTCAAGCTCTGCTAACCCTGGCCTTACATCTCAGTGTAGACCCCTCCTAAAGACTTGTCCTCAGTCAGTCTGTGGCAAAGCTGGCTCCCATAAATCTTGACTCCAGTCCCTGTTCTAAGCCTGCACCCACATGACCCATTCTCACAGCCCAACCAGTCAAAGAGATGCTTTAAACTCAGTCTGAGAGCTGGCCAGAGTTGGGTTCTGCCCTCTAAGATATGTGCAACTTGCCTCTGCCCTTGTCCCAAGCCCTGGTGAGGCAAGTCAACTAGGAAGACCTCCATTATGGTTAATATTGTTCTTTGACACTTTGGCTCAAATCAGATGGGAAGGGAGACACACAGGGAAGCTACAGAGCTCTCCCATAATTCAGTGGGCTGATAAGAGCCAGCCTGTACTCCTCCCTGTCACACATTCAGTGTCTCTCCTTCGCCTTACCAAGGGCAACCAGACTTTCTTGCGAGACCTCCACATCCTTGGCTGTGCCATCTGAGCCCTTGCCTCCAGCCACACCTCCATGCTCAGAGAAAGGAGACAGGAGGGGGGAAGTATCAGCTCCCTCAGGGATTGTCTTAAAAGTACAAAGCCTGGAGGGGGCCACATAAATGTAAAACTGTGCCGCACCAATAAATACAAATTAAACTCATAACAAGAAGTGAAATATTAGGGCCAAGGTGACATTCGGACTGGAGGTTCAGTCAAGCTTTGCTTTAAATATTTTATGGCTGCAGATAAAGAAAGAGCTTATCCAACGTTTTTTTTTTTTGTATTTTTTTTTCATCAACCAGAGGGGAAAGGGAGAGAAAAAAAGCCTACCAGCTCTGGCTGCACTTGAACTAGACTTCAAAGTTTCACAAAAACAAACACTTTTAGGAGAGCATGCAGGAGGTTTGTGCAGAAAGAAAAGGCACTGGGAAGAGGACTAAGTGGCTTACACAGAGATTGGCTGCTTCCTCTCCTAAAGCTGTTGGCCAGCCTTGCTATGCCCTTTGAAACAGCTGCCGTATTCTGCCACAGAGGTGGCTGCATTTGTGCAGCAGATTAAGCAAAATTTTGTAAAGGGCGCTGGGAGGCTTCAGAGATCAAATGAGTTTTTGTTTCTCTCTGCTCCCCATCTGTCTGTCCATGTCCATCAGTTGTCTCTTGTTCTGTGCTAAGATTTTAAGCTTGTTGGGGCAGAGACTGTCTTTTTGTGCTGTGTTTGTACAGTGCCTGGCACAGTGAGGTCCTGAGGTGCTACAGTAATACAAATAAATAGTAATAATAATAAGTTGGATAAATGGTATAGTTAGAGAAGGGCACAAACTCCAAAGTTGGGTCTAGATCTAAATTTTTCCCCGAAGTTTGGGATAGGCTCAGGGCTATCTCTAGTGCTCATTATTATAAGGAAAATAATGACTTCTCTGCGAAATCCAGGCTCTTCCTTTCATTTCACACCTTCCATCTCCCACGTACAGCTCCTCACCCTGACACACGCATTGTATGTAAGAAAAAGTAGAGACTCATCACGTCGTTGGTTCTTGCCTCAGTGCACCACACCCCCAGGCGTCTGTCTTGTGACCCTTATGGCTGAGTAACATTAAAGCTAGAGGACACACATTAAGGAGAGTCCTGGTTCTGAAAGGATTCTCTTCCTTTCTTTGCTTTTTCTTTTATTATTGTACATCTCTCCACTTCCGGGAGAGGAATGAGAGGAGTTCCAGAGGGCAGTGTAGAAAGGTTTGTCTCTTGAGGATCAGGGCACTGTTCGGAGCGGGGCTGAGTCCAAGAACAATTGATGCGTGCAGCATTGCTGCTAACTAGATCAATCGTGTATACCTGCGCATGCCTGGAGTCACGTTTTGCCAGGCAGCGCAAGGTAGAAGTCCCCCAGTCCCACAAGATGGGTTCTCATGGTAAGAATGGGAAATAGCAGAGCTCTCCGGAGAAACATCTCATATGAAAAGTCCATCCCAATTTCAGGACCAAAAGCTATTCAGCTCTGTTTCATTTCCATCCCCCTCCCCTGCACAAGGACTGACAATACACTTCTTCTGTGATGGGTCGGTAAAACAAGAGTTGTGTAATTTGTTGTGTGGGATGCATATGCCGCACCTGTTCTGTGGGTTTCTCTCTCCAGGTTCATCTGTCCCGCCCCCTAAACACTTAAGCGGCGAGAAAGCCAGTGTGAACGTGATATTTTAATGCCTTTATTCCCTCTCTCTCTTCTGTCTCCACAGCACAGAGCCCCACTGCAGCAGACCCCTTGCAACAAGCCTACGCTGGAGTGCAGCAGTACGCAGGTCGTTAGTATTAACACTTTCTCCCAATAAACCTTTCACGTCCCCAAAGCCTTTAACCGCTGAATGTGCCTGAGGGGGTTGGGTGAAGGGAGCCATTCCCAGGGGCAGCACCAGGCCAGGGCAGAGAGGTCTGAGATTGCATTCCTCCCACAACAAAACATACGGGCTTAGCTTCGCTTCTACGGCCCAATCCAGCTCCCCTCGAAAGGCCAGGAAAGACTTCTGTTGACGTCAGTGGGAGCCGGATCAGGCCCTTACATCAGTGTGGTGGAATCATTGCAGATTTCCACTGCAGTTAGCGAGAGGAAAACCAGGCCCATAACCCCCTCTGCTTCCCGCTTTCTGTGATCACTGTGCAAATGTCTCCCTTGTGTAACGGCCGGAGGGGGATGCCAATGGCAGAGCCCCACACAACCTCTCCCAGCCTTTCCCCCGCTGAGAAATTGGTTTACATTTCCCAGCAGCTTCCCAACAAGGCCAGCCTCTGCTCCCCGTCACACCGGTGTCAATGCAGAGTCACTCCTTTGAAACTGATGGACCGACACCAGCTGGGATGACTGGGCGCAGAGCGTGTTCAACATCCCCTCATGAGGTGACCCAAGCTGACACCGTGAGGAAGCCGCAACCCCAAAGTCATTATTTCCTGTGGTAACTAGGGCGGCCACGGGCTCCCGCTGAGGAATGGCTATTATCTCATGTCAGGGCTGTATCTGGGAACTTAATTTAATTCTTCATGTAAAGCTTCATTTGCTGGTGTTTTAGTTATTGTCATTTATTGCTCGTGAAGTTTGATGGATGAGCGGCAGCTCAACCCTTTGAGCTGTTAATTAACCCCTCTGCACGCATGTAGGCCCCTTTCCCCTCTCTCTGGGACTCAGGCAGCCCTTACGCTGTGTTTCTGAGAGCCAGGCATGTAATCTGCCGACTGTCGGACCAAATGGCTCCCCTTGCCCTATCGGCGGGGAGGAGAGCTGAGTGTGGCAAAATTGTTCCTCAGCTAAGCACTGCTTCCACCCTGTGGAGCAGGAGGGGAGTAGGTGTGAGCTAGTCTTCTGCTGAGCGTGTAAGAGGATCCAAGTGAGTGTGTGAGAGACCATCTGGGGAGGCGGGGGTGGGGGTGAGTATGTAGCAGCATGAGAATCAGCGTGAATGTGTTTGTGTGGAAAAGCGGGGGAAGGGAAGGGGGGTGTGCGTGTGAGTCAATGTATGAGTCTCTCTTTGTAGAAAGGGTGTTTTAGTGGCCCCATCCTGCCACCTTTATGCCCTTAGAATGCCAAGGGGAGTTTGGGGAATGCAGCGTCAGCCAGTCCATGAGGCTTAGCCAGTCGGGGGCCCATCACCATGGCAGCGTAATGTGCAAAAGGACAAAATGAGGCCCCAAAAGCCTGAGCGGTGGTTGTGCTGTGTGAGAAGGTCAGTGTGGGCTTCCAGCAGGAGGGACCTCTTTGTGTCCGAACCTTTCCCTGGCTGAGCTACTCTTGTTGGCTTAGGCGATAAACCCCATCCTGCCATCACCTTCCCTGTGTTAGGAAGCCCAAAGCCCCAGATACTTGCCCCAGACCCTCCCCACAAGTGCCTGAACCAACCCCTTCCCTTTCAAAGTCTACTGAGCAGATGGCAGGAAGAGCTTGAAGTGATGAGATAATAGAATCATAGAATCATAGAATATAAGGGTTGGAAGGGACCCCAGAAGGTCATCTAGTCCAACCCCCTGCTCGAAGCAGGACCAATTCCCAGTTAAATCATCCCAGCCAGGGCTTTGTCAAGCCTGACCTTAAAAACCTCTAAGGAAGGAGATTCTACCACCTCCCTAACGCATTCCAGTGTTTCACCACCCTCTTAGTGAAAAAGTTTTTCCTAATATCCAATCTAAACCTCCCCCACTACAGCTTGAGACCATTACTCCTCGTTCTGTCATCTGATACCATTGAGAACAGTCTAGAGCCATCCTCTTTGGAACCCCCTTTCAGGTAGTTGAAAGCAGCTATCAAATCCCCCCTCATTCTTCTCTTCTGCAGGCTAAACAATCCCAGCTCCCTCAGCCTCTCCTCATAACTCATGTGTTCCAGACCCCTAATCATTTTTGTTGCCCTTCGCTGGACTCTCTCCAATTTATCCACATCCTTCTTGAAGTGTGGGGCCCAAAACTGGACACAGTACTCCAGATGAGGCCTCACCAATGTCGAATAGAGGGGAACGATCACGTCCCTCGATCTGCTCGCTATGCCCCTACTTATAATATGGCAGACAATATAGGGCACATTCTTCAAGTCCCATAGCGAATCTGCCTCCCCATTGCTAGGAATCCAGCAAATCCATGTGATAACTTCAGGCTCCTTTTCCAAGCCACTCCTCGAGGGCCAGTCTAAAATAGCTCGTCCTTGACCCATCCATTCTCTCTCGCGTGCAAAGCATGTAATGGCAAAAGAACAATAGACAAGGGTGTGCCTGTTGTATGGGCAAACGGGATTTGCATCCCCTCATCCTGGACCAGAAACTCAAAGCCAAAATGTGGGGAGAGCAAAGCAGAACCTCGAGGGGGGAGATGTCAGCCACTGGAACCAGCTGTAGTGGGAGATGGGTCATATCAGAAGGGCAGGCCAGGGAGAGAGAAAGTGGGGCTGACTCCTGTTAAGAAGCCTGACCTGGATCCACCTCCTGTTGTCTAGAAGCTGTCCCTCCTCCCCAGCCTAGCATTCTCCAGCTGGCCCCCTGCCATCCAACCCTAGAAAATCCTCTGCTACATGGCACTATCTACCTGAAATTCACTTCCTGTCGGTTAAAACGGTGTTTTGGTTCATATCAATAACAACTGATTCCTTCAGGCCTTAACAATGAAATGGGATCCCTCCTTGATGCTTCTTAATATACATCGCCCTCTGCAGTGCCCCAATGTGGGGCAATTCCTTCCTTCATATCTGCTCCACACACACACATACACGCGCACACAACTCCCGCGGGAGTCAGCATGCTCAGTGTAGGTCAGAATTCAAAGGCATCTTCATGTGTATCTTGTCCCACTGTCCAAAGGTCTAGAGTGTCAAATGTGGGCTGTGATGCAAGACTGTCCTTCCCATGTGATCCCACAGGGGACACCTCAAGGTTAGCCTGCTTGTGCTTTAGTCTCTCCATCTGGAAAACGAGAGGACAGATAATACCTACCAGTGCTTGAGTCAGGATGAATTAGCTAATGTTTGTAATGTGCATTAGGACCATCACATTAAAGGTGCTGCAGAAGTGCCTCGTTTTCCTGTGAGCAGGACGTTTTGAGACTCACTGTTGTAAATCCAGATATTCACCACTCCACTCCTGAATCAAAAAAGGGGCCGGACCTTTAACTGGGGGAGCTTCATTGACCTTTACAGGGTTCCCCCTGTTTATACAAGCTGAAGATCTGGCCTGAAGTGTTGCAGTTGATTAAGTCCAAGTGACTGTCAGTGCCCAAAGCAAAGGACTCCTAGACCTGCCAAAGCCTGGCATTTTAACCTGCACTGTGATATCCCTGCCATTTGAGTACGTGCTTCTCCCCCATATGGCTATTGCAGCCAAAACAAATGGGCTGAACATAAAAAGAGCTTGGTGTGGTTATTGGGATGAAAGGTCTTGACTCCCCATTGCTGAAATCTTTCGATCTTTCTTCTCTCCTCTTCTTTCTCCTATAGCTGCTTATCCTGCTGCTTATGGCCAGATTAGCCAAGCGTTTCCACAGCCGCCTCCCATGATCCCACAGCAACAGAGAGAAGGTAAGTAAACAGGCTGTTCTCTCTTCCATATCTAGTAAGTCATCCCTATTGCATTGTATTCCCCCAACCCCCAAGTTACATAGAGCCCTGAAAACGCCTCATCATGTTGGACCCTCTCCTCATCCACTCTCCATCTGTTGTGTAATATCATCGGGCGTTACTGGTAACCTATGGAAACGGTCACGCTTGCGGGGTATGTGCTTAGGTCCTCCCCGGGCTGCAGCCACTAGAGGGCAGCATAATTCAGAAGGTTTAATTATGTTGCGTACAGTAGAGGCCAGCTGTGGTGGGTCAAAAAAAAGCGTTCCTTGAAAAGGCCCATTTCGTCCAGATCAAAACGGGAATGTGTCTGTTCTGACCAAATTTGAAACGGTTCATTTCAATCGTGTCAAAACATTTGGTATCGGTGGTGTCGTTCTGCTCCATTCCGTGTCAACGTGCACACTACAGTAAAATGTTGGTTTTAATCTTTCATTGTATATAGCACATTTACCATTGTCTATAGCATACACTGTTGAATATTTTAACACAATATGAAAGTCAAAACAAAACTCAGCGAAACGACAATATCGAAATGAAACATTATGATGGTTCCAACTTGTAAGTTCTTTGGGATTTTCATTTCATGAGAACATTTGAAACGGATGCATTTTGGTGGAGCATTTCAATCAGTCAGGCTCAACTAGATGCAAATTTCCACTGCTGCACGCCCTACAAGTGGAATTTATATGAGAAGAGGAGGTTTCCATACTGAAGAAAACATTGGCATATAATATGGAATCCATTCATCTCCCACCTTTGTCCTATTGCTTTCCCTTTTGCCTGGATCGCGGATATTTCTGCTTAAAGTGCACTGATGGTCATAATAGTGATTGTGTATAAAAGTCAGCCTCTCTGCTCCCTGAGGGGCTGCTTTGCCTCTCACTTACGCGGAGGTCAATTAAGAATAAGTTCTTTGAAGTCTGTGGAGTTACAACAGTGTGAGATCAGAATCACACCCTCTGTGTCTTTGAGTCACATTGGCTCATTTCGGTGTTAGTACAACAGAGCGGGGCAGATATGGGAGAGTGAACTTGATTCTGTCCTGCTTTGTAAAATATCATTAGCACTGCCAGGAAAGAGGTAGTAATTGAACTGACTTGCAACCTCACTGAATTCAATGGGAAAGACTGGGGTGTGTGGTCTCAGATCATAGAAATAAGGGGCTGGAAGGGACTTCAAGAGGTCATCTAGTTCAGCCCCCTGTGCTGAGACCATCCCTGACAGGTGGGTTGTCTAACTTGTTCTTAAAAACCTCCAATGACAGGAAATCCACAGCCTCCCTTGGAAGCCTATTCCAGAGCTTAACTGCGCTTACCATTAGAAAGTTTTCTTAATGTTTAACCTAACAGATTAAGCCCATTACTTCTTGTTCTACCTTCAGTGGACATGGAGAACAATTAATCACTGTCCTCTTTATAACAGCCCTTAACAGATTTGAAGACTGTTATCAGATTGCCCCCTCCGTCTGCTTTTCTCAAGACTAAACATACCCAGATTTTTTAACTTTTCCTCATAGATCAGGTTTTCTAAACCTTTTATTATTTTTGTTGCCCTCTTCTGGACTCTCTCCAGTTTATCCACATCTTTCCTAAGGTGTGGTGCCCAGAGCTAGACACAGCACTCCAGCTGAGACCTCACCAGTGCTGAGTGGGGCCGGACAATTACCTCCCATGACTTACGTACAACACTCCTGTTAATACACCCAGAATGAGATTTGTCTTTTTTGCAACAGCATCCCGTTGTTGGCTCCTTTGCAATTTGTAATCTACTGTCTCTCCCAAGCCCTTTTCAGCAGTGCTACTGCCTATCCAGTTGTTCCCCATTTTGCATCTGTGCACTTGCTTTTTCCTTCCTAAGTATAATACTTTGCACTTATGTTTACTGAATTTCATCTTGTTGATTTCAGACTAATCATCCAATTTGTCAAGGTAATTTTGAATTCTAATCCTGTCCTCCAAAGTAATTGCAACCCATCCCATCTTGGTGTCATCTGCAAATGTTACAAGCATACTCTTCAAGCCATTATCCAAGTCATTAATGAAAATATTGGCTAGTACAGAACCCAGGAGGGACCCCTGCAGGATTCCACCAGTGTGACAGTGAGCCATTGATAGCTACTCTGTGGCCCTAAACTCTCAGTGCAACCACACAGGTCTCCAGGTACACATCAACCCAGTGCTCTTCTCTCCGCACTGGCTCCCCACTGAATACAAAGTCCAACTCAAGCTCTTTGTCCTGATATTCAAATCCCTTCATGAGAGTGACCCTAACTAATGGAGAGATGTCCTCTCTCTCTCTCTCTGGCCCTGATTTCCCATGACAGCTACTTTCCATAGAAACCATGAAACTCTTGACTAGTAAGACGGAAACTCATGATTATGGGAGACAGAACTTCCCTAGCTGCTGGGCCTAGACTATGGAACTCATTGTCACAAGAAGTGAGAAAGACCATGGGCTTAACAGCATTCAGAAATAAACACATAACTCGTTTCTTTGATTTAGCTTTCTCTCAGTACATTCCTCTCTCTCTCACACACACACGCACACAGACACACGCACAAACTATTCAGTTTTACTCCTGCAGATAAGGCAAAGGAGAGAGAGGTTGTTTTGTTAGCTCTTCAACAACAACGGGGTGGTTAACTACTACTTGTGGTAGAAGACACATAGATGAATGGGTGGATAGACAGGCAGGCAGATAAAAAATGGCTTGTCACCTGAATTCTGATTACCACATCGTTATTGCTGGTGGTGGTATAGTATAACAAGCCAAACAATCCCAGCTGAGTTTTTTTCAGTTTGCAGGGCTGGCAATTAGAAAAGACTCTTTTGACTTGAGAACTGAACAAATTGGATCTGATTCACTGAGATAGAATCAGTGAGTGCAGGGGACTGGACTAGAAGACCTCTCGAGGTCCCTTCCAGTCCTATGATTCTCTGTGGGACTCCATGCTGTCACAGTCACAGTCACGGTTCAGAACATGGCTGCATTTTAAGCAGGGGCTTTGCTTCCTTCCATCTTCCTCTTTTGTGCTTGATCCCACAGTGGAATCAGACAATGCTGATTTCAGGCCTAACGTATAAAGGTTTCCTCACCGTGGGTCCAACTTTCAAACCTGGGGAAGGCTAAAGTTCAGGACCTCATTCCCTGTTTCAACTAACTATTTCTAAGCCTTCATAGGTTTCGCTAGGTACATCCCAGGTCAGATTACAACCGGGTAGGATTCCCACTAATGTATAATATATCCAAGACTTCAGGGAATGCATCTGTCCATCTCTCTCTCCTGGGAGATCTCACCCACCTCTATCAGGTACCTGAGAGGTCTGTCTTCATCTCATGCTTTGGCAACATTTGTCTATTCCTGATCAAATAGAGTTAAAAAAAATCCAGTTCCATTTAAACCAAAATAATTTTTTTCATCAAATAAAAAAAAAACAAAAAAATTATTTTCAGTGGGCTGAAACATTTCACGTTGAATTGAAATGAGTTTTTGTTTTTGTTTTTTTAGGTTTTTCAATTGATTTCAAGTTGACATTTTTAGTTGACTCCAAATGAATTTTTTTTTTTTTGTTCTTCATTTTGATTCCACCATTTTGGGTGTTTTTCACCCTCTTTTGGGGGCGTGCATGGGCTTTTTTAAATTGGCCGCATTTGAAACCAACATGACGTTTTGAATCAAAAAGTTAAAACGAAATGTTTCAAAACAAAGAAGTGAAAACATGTGGTTTCGTCTCTTTCAAAAAACAAATTTCAATCAAAGCTATTTGTCAAATTTGACCCAGTTTCAAGCCTTGAAAAATACATTTTTCAACAAAAACTTAATTGAATTTTTTTCCCGTCTCTCCAATAAAGTCTCATTGAACTGAACTGAATTGCATCTCTCTTTCCTGGAGATAGAACAGCGGTCACTAGAGAAGGGAGGGGATAACCCTGAAAAAGGTACAGATGTAGGGTAAATCTTTGTATGATTTGTATGGCCACTCAGGTTCAAAAGTAATTTAGCTAAACAGACAACCGGGTGCCTAATTAGTTAATTACCCTGGTTCACTGGCATCCCCCCATATGGAATAAACTCTTCAGCAACCTCTAGGAAATGCACAAAATGCAAAGGATCGGCTGTTCCTTCCTGACAGTCCTTTTAGCAAATTAGTGGGGAAAATTGTGCTTAGCAAATATTCATTAAGGCTTCATTTTCCATTAATCCAAAAGGAAATGTGGAAAGCCTGTGACTTCAATCACGCTGAGGCCCAGGAATTTTAATGAGCTTTAAATGGGCATCTGTCAGAATCCTGACTTCACCGTACTTATCCTGCCAGCCAGGGGAATGAGTAATGGCCAATAAAAGGTGGGAGCGCCTAGGCGAACTCCCCTCCCCAATAGGAAAGGCAAAGTTGTAATTTGCTGTGTTACGACACTATAATTATGCCCTGATGAAGAAAGTGAGAGCATTAAAATCCTTTTCTTTCCCTACTTCGTACTGTGCTCCAGCAATAAATGATAGAAGCCCTGCTTTGCTGGGTCAGAGAGGTGCATACTGGTGGTCAAGGGAGACACAAGGATCTTCCCCCTCACCCTTTGTGTCTTTCTCACAGTCAGGACTGGGAGCACAGCTGGGTGCTCGGAGAGCATCCCCAAAAGCATGCACAGGAATTGGCCCTCCCATACACTGGCTAGCAAAAGTGAGCTACCATTAGAGTTAAGGTCAAAAGTATAAATGGGTTCAAATAAGAACTAGATGTGTTCATGGAAGATAGGTCCATCAGTGGCTTTAGCCAAGATGGTCAGGGATGCAACCCGATGCTCTTGCTGTTCTTAAACCTCTGATTGCCAGAAGCTGGATCACTCAGTTATTGCCCTGTTATGGTCATTCCCTCTGAAGCACCTGGCATTTGCCACTGTCGGAAGACAGAATACAGGGCGAGATGGACAATTGGTCTGACCCACTATGGCCATTCCTATATTCTTAAGAATAGAACAGGGCAGAAACCGGAAACTTTATTTCATGGAGGAGTTCGGGATTGCAACATTTGTTTTAGTTCCAGATCAGGACGAAACCTGAAGATTTCAAAATGATCCACGAAAGAAAATACCAAAAACAATTCATTTAAGATTGACCGAAACTTTCCATTTTGACAAAACTGAAATGTCTTGATCTATCCAAAATGAAATTTTCTGTTTTGTTTCCATTTTGATTTTTTTAATTCTATCGTATAAATTACAATACATTACATAACTTGAAATGAAAAGTCATTTTGAAAGGAAAAATCAAAATGTTTCATTCCAAAAATGTCAAAACCAGGACATTTCAACACTGTTGGAGCTTTTCCACACACACACACACACACACACACACATTTTTGTTCTGAAACAAAATTTCAGCGAAATCTATGTGATTTTGCAAAGCATTTTCATTTTGACAGAACTGCATTTTCCAATGGAAAACTGCTCCATCACAATTTTCCCAACCAGCTTCAGGTTAGAGTCTACTGCATGCTGCAAAAGGCTGCCAGAATTCTTGCTCTGGCATCTATTGCAGCACCAGGAAGAGAATGGCAGGTCCCTGCCTGGAACCAACGTGTAGAATATGAATTTCTGGGGGGGGGGGGGTGGAGGTAGTCATTCTTCAGGGTGGGCTTCAGGGTTTCAACCCTGGCCAGGTTCTGTCTGAGTTTGGGCAAAGAGGCGGGTGGCTGAATATAGAATGCCATGTGTTTGTGTGTCTGTTCCCACTCATCATCACCAATTGCCTCAACAGGTGTTTGACAAAGATGACTGACGTTCCGCCTATAAACACCAGGGAGGGAGGGGGACCATTCAGAGTGGTCCAAAAAGATGGATGTGGGGGGAGGTAGAACTAAGGTTAATGAGAGTGAACGAAGCAAAGAAAAATTCTGAACGGAATACCAAGAAATGCTTCTTTCTTTCCATCTCCATACATACCACTCTATCTAGCTGCCTCGCTATCAGTTCTATGCTAATGCCATCCCTGTGGTATTTGATCACCTGGCATGTTGCTTAGATTTGCATAGCAAGGTCCCCATGGGGTCTCCTGGTCTCCTCCCTTCTCTGGTCATAAGAAACTTGGCTTGGGTTGAGGATTTTTTTGGAGGGAGGGTAGGCAGCTGTTGTAAATGTCACTTTGGTTATTTGGTGGGTCAGAGCCTGGATTGGCCAAAACACCTGTGGAAGTTGATCCCCACAGCCAGATCCCCTCCACTGAGGAAGTCTAGTGGCAAGATCTTAGCAGTCTGCCAAAGGAAGTGGTGGAAAGCCCCCCTCTCACCCCCACCCCTGTTGCTGGATGCATTTAAAACATAGACCGTACAGAAGTACTGTTAGGGAATATTCTACCGTGGAACATTCCACCCCAGCAGAAGGTAGCTGAGAAGAGAAAGAGGCGTGTCCAATCCAGGTACTCTTTATTCAAACCTCCTCCCTTCTTCTCTTTCCCATCTCACCTGCAGGACCAGAGGGCTGTAACCTGTTTATCTACCATCTGCCCCAGGAGTTTGGGGATGCTGAGCTGATGCAGATGTTCCTGCCTTTCGGTAATGTCATCTCCTCGAAAGTGTTTGTGGATCGGGCGACAAACCAAAGTAAATGCTTTGGTGGGTAAAGATAACAAAACAATTAGATTCATCCAGGAAAGGGCTTTCTCTGAACACTTTGCCTTTCGAACTGCTTTCTCTTTGCTTACGTTTTTTGATTTCTCGATTTACTTCTGTCGATACTTTTTTCTCCCTTCCCCCTCCCCTTAATCGTCTCATGCTCAGAACCGTGTGCGCTGCTCAGAGACAAAGGTTTGGAAGGTTGCTAGCAGATGGACATTCCGGCTGCTGGCTACAGGGGAGAAAAATCCCCAAAACAAGCGTTTGGAGAGAAGCCAGTGGGGTTGGGGGATGGGTTTGTGGCAGTGTGGTTGGTCGGGGGAGAAAGTACAAGGCCCAGGGGGAGGAAAATCAGGCAGTGGGGGAAAGAAAGGCTCTTTGGGCCAGATCACCAGCTGATGTAATGCATTAGACTGCAGGGGAGCCATGCTGATTTCTCTCTGCTAAAGATCTGACCTTCTGAGTGTAAGCCACTAAGAGAGGTCTGCTTCAAGGCCCTGCCAGCAGGCAGACGTGAGATCTGTGTTTTAATTCTCTGCAGGATCTCCCCTCCCCATCTCAAATTCTTATCATGCTGCTGTAAATGTCACACTCACTCCACTGCTGTTGTGGGGCAGAGCGGGACCCTGTCCACGTTCATCCATGTACCTCTCCTCACCAGTTCCCCTCCCTCTGAACCGCAGTTTCCCGGGGTGGTGGGTGTCTCTCGGGGTGTACTTTCTCTCTGATGTCCCCGCGCTCACCACTGGGATCTGCCATGTGGTTCCTGCCGTCCCTTGCTCTTTGCACACATGCCCTTTACGAGGTGCAATGGGGCAAATTATATTTTTTAATTGCCCTGACTCAGAGGATTCTCTGCCGGCTGCTGGTCTGGAGCCAGCTTCTGGGGGATCCCTCCATATATCAGACTTTTATTTTCTTTTGGTTTTGATGCTTCTGTCAATCTCCACACCATGTCTCCCTTGCCCGTTCCCTCCCTGGTCTCCTCCACCTTTCCCCCTCAGACAACCCTTCCAACTTCTCTTGGCCTGTTTCCCACTGGAAATCAGTGCCGTGCTGAAAGCAGTCAGCTGGCTTGGACTGACTAGCCACCGGGAGTTCTTGGCCCCAACAGCTGCTGGTCTATACAGTTCTTCCTGTCCATCCAGAGAGCATCTGAATGTGACTTTGGACAGACCACTGAGCTCCTCATAATGGGTGGGAACACAGAGTTTGTCTCAGCCAGCAATTGTTATCTTCACGCCCTTCTGCTCTCATTAACTCTTGGACACTGAGCGTGGAGGGGCCCAGTATGAGGATTCATCTTGGGGGATTTCAAATAAGCGTTACACTTATGACTCAGTCCCAGCCCCTTCTTGTTTACAGCCCCAGTGGCGTCCTGCCCAAATGGGAGGACCATCCTACTTCTAGGTGTAAATGATAGATAACACGCTGATGGTATCCATAGCGTGGGACAGTCAAGTTGGAGCTTCTGGCAGTGAAATGGCTGTCTCCACGCTCTTCTTTATAGAGAACTAATGGACCTGGTTCTCCTCCTCCAGACAGAGGTGTAAAGCAGAGGGAACTCAGTTGATGTTAATGGAGGTGTGGCAGTGGAGTAAGGGAGATGAGAATCAGGCTCAGTGAGGTGGGAGGATCATCTGGGGGCTAGAGTGCTGGGTTCAGATTTCTCTCTGTTCTCTTCTCATCTCTAACCTGTCCTGGCCTTGTGATTTAGTCACCAATCTGTAACATGGGGATAGTCACACAACCCAAGCTCATGTGCTGGTATTCATTGATATTTATGCAGTGCTTGGAGATCCTTGGATGAAAAAGATGATAGCTGCAATGTAATAGGAGGAGAATGCAAATATTTATTTACTGTATGTTATAGAGCGGATGAAACCTAAAACAACAACCCATTTAGCAATCCACTGGGGCAGTAACCACCAAAATACTTGTGGGTAAGGAGGTTATCCCAACCTCTAAGTGAAAAGGTCCCACGCAGGTGTTTAGTCCCCAAGTTCAGCAAAAAACAAGGAGAGAAGCTTGGTAACTTCATTTAGGCTCTCAGAACCCGATTCTCAGCTCCAGACAATGCTGGGGCCCATGGCATAAGTTAGAACATCCTCTCTGAATTGAGCTTGGCTGCCTATGTAGCTAAGGGGGCCATTCTAGTAGCCAGAGATAGCCAAAACATAGAGGGATTTTCACCATTCCGTAGGCCTTGCCCCTTAGCCCTGGAACTAGGGGTATGACAGTGGCACACAGCAATTGCATTTGGTCTGTACGACATGGGGTTCCCCCCTACATATAAGGAATTCCCAGTTTGCCAAATCTGCCAGTTTTACAGCAACGCAAAAGTACAGAGAATCAGGTCCTCAGTCTATTTGCTGCTTTCAGTGGGCCTAGAGCTGGACCACGTTTTTCATTCAACGTTTTTTTTTTTCCAACACAGCATTGCTTTTCCTACAGGAAATGTCCAATTTTGATTATATTTGATTGAAAAATTCTTGATTTTCTGACAGAACATTTCATTTTTCAGATAGCAAAAGCAAAACAAGTCAATGTATGCATTTTGTTTTGTTTGTTTTTTTCCAACAAGAGCCCAAAATCTTTTGTAGAAAAAAATTCATCTAAGTGTTGTCATGGGAACAAAACGCACTTCCCAAACAGCTCTGCTCAGTGCTTACTTGCTGGTGGGGAAAACTGCAGCATGGAGAGTGCTGGTCAGAAACAGTTGTGAGTTGCCTTGGTACATGGTGATAAATACCTTGTACAACCCACGCTGTTCTTGCAAGATGGAGAGTTTGCTTCCATGCTTACAGTGCTGCCAAACCCGGTGATTTATTGTGAGTCTCAGAATATTGGGTGCTTTTCTTAAAGTTCCAGCTCCTGGAGGCATGTGATTAGGAATGTCTCCACTTTCTTTTTTTAAAAATAAGTTTTTGTCCTCGTAGTTGCAGAGAAAAGCTTGAAAACATAACCACAGCAGGCATAATAAAAAAGAATTCATAAGTTATTTTTAACAGTATCATGATTGTAAGCCAACCTCTTGATTTTTGAATGTTTGGGGTTGGCAGTGCTGCTGGTCTCTGATTTGCAGTTTGCTGTTACACAGATATGGGAGTAGCGAGTATTCAGATATGATAATTAGAAATGGTTGAAAAAGGACAATTATTTTGCACAGAAATTTTTTTGTTTTTTATACTTCCTGAGATTTTTTTTTTTACTTTTTCATAAACTAAGAAAACAAAACATTTTTCAAAAATTGTTTCCAGTAAAAGAAAGAACGAAAGAAAGATTAGTATTTAAAAAATCTTTTTTAGGTTAAATAAAATTTTAGTTCTTTAGATTTTTTTATGCCAAAAACTGATGTATTTTACTTAAAAATCAAACTGAAAAATTAATATTTCAATTTAATTTGCATGTTGATGTGTTGATTTATCTCCATATCTCAGTGACGCCCACTCCATGCCCTGTTTTTTACCCTGTGTTTTTACAAGCCATAGAGTGGCTGTGCAGAGGGTTTAACTTTATAGTTCAGGATGCTATTCCCAGACTCAATGTTTCTCCCATAGTATCCACTTGTATTAAATTGCAGCAGCTTTGTGCTCTTTACCATGCACCATGCAAAAACATGCCTGCACAAGTCTCAGTTGTGTTTTTCCAGCAGGACTCTAGAGTTCTATATGGGATCATTAGATCATCCATCCATCCCTTTTTAACTTGCCCTTCCATACTTCTTATGGTGCAATAGAGAAGCAGACACCTTTCCCTGTGAATGAGGACGTTCTCATACCTTCACTTATAATAAAAATATGATTCTGCTGGGACCAGATCAAACAAATAATAATAGACACTCAGTGCTTATATGATAAAAATGTCGTTCCTCAATCTGGTCACAAAAATTGAAATTGAGACCAATGTTTTTTTTAAAATTGTGCATGAAAAAATATCCTGTTTTAACCAGTTTATAGAAAGGTTAAACGTATCAAAAAATCAAAATTTTGATGAAACTTTAAGAAAAAGTTTCCCAAAAAATCAACAATTTCTTTTCATTTCTCAACCAGCTCTAGTTATCCTTGCTGTAAGATCCTGCAGTATTTTTCACAAGGTTTGGCACAGAAGAGGCAAATCTGTCATCATCTCTCTGAGTAGTGTATGTATGTTGCACTCTAAAGATGCACAGTGATGCACAGGATGTAAAAGAACTGAAAGAAGAGCAGACCTCCTGCCCCGAGTAGCTTAGAACTTCACAGAGCACTGGGCAGCAGGAGGGTTATATGGTGGGAGTGGATCCCGATGATGGCTGACATGCTGCATGCAACATTAGGGTCATCAGCAGCTGCTTCTTTTTCTCAAGGGCAATTGGTGAAAATTAGTTGAGAGGCTGATCCGAGTGTTCGATGTGGGCTGGCAGAAGGGACGATGTTGGGAATAGGGAGAGGAGACAAAGTGAGAAGCAGGGAACCTGTATCAAACAAGTGAAATGCATCTCGGCAGATCAGAGGTGCGCCAGGATTTGTTCAGCCCATTGGATCTTTTTCTAAAAGCTGTGCTTTAGTTCAAAGAAGAATTAATTCCGAGAAGTCCTACGGCTTGTGTTATAGAAGAGGTCAGACTAGATGATCACAGTGAACCCTTCTGGCCTTATAATCTATGAATAAGAAACACTAGACAGCAGTTTACATCTTTTTCATAGATTCACAGAAGCTAGAGATTGACATGCCCTTAGGGTGCCTCATCTGTCACCCAGAGGAATCAGTGCACAGTTTACATTCTTCAGTACTTAGGCCTGAAAGCACAAAAGGAGTTAGGTGCCCAAGTCCTTGTTTTATGCTCCTACATTCCAGTTTCAGGACCACGGTGGTGCATAAAACTCCCACTTAAATCCTGTAGGTGCCTAAACTCAATTGCCACCTAAGTTTTTGCAGTAAAAGCTCCCTAGGTACCTATGTTTCTGCTTCTGAGCATGCACGCAGCAGCATACCTGTCGATATCCAGGGGCCTAACTCCCC